AAGGGTAAGGATTCTCTCTCTCTCTCTTTGGTCATTAAGAAAATGCTCACCTATTTTCATATAACCCCACTCATTCGTGGAAGGAAAAAGTTCATATGCAGGCTTGCCCGCATGCTAACTTTGAATCACCGCTGTTCCAACTTTGTTGGACGGTGATGATCAAAACAACATCTTTCAATCACCACCATCCAACAAAATTGGGCGGTGGTGATTCAAAGCACGCTAACCACATCTTTAATGGAATTGTTGTGTCCTCCAAACATCACAACTGTATTGCACAAGTTGTTGAAAATCAGAGAGCCGACTCAGAGTAGCTCAAGTGGCTCGGTCCCAAGGGACCCCATTCTGGATGGTCCAATTGGGGAATTGGCCGAATAGTCCAAAAGCAGGTGATTCATTCCATTATACACGCAGATTGACTCGCTCGAAAATCAGTAAGCTGACTGAAAGAAACTCACTGGAACGGTAAGCTGACTCAAGTCACCGATGCATGGAGCACCCGATTCATGCTTTCAAATACTAGTTTGTACTAATAATGCAAATGAAAATTATTCAAAGAGACCATATACATTTAGAACAAGGAGGTTATAATCATTCTTTTCCTTCATATTTCAAATCTAAGGGGTTGTGAGCGTGTTGTTGACTAGACTCAAAAGTTTTAAAAAAAATATTTCAAACTTCGTAACACACCCCAAACCATTCAATTTGATATCTAATGACTAAAAGTAATTGTAACCTCTTTGTATGAAAGATAAATTATCCTCATAGTATACAATCCCTAATACAAAAGAAACTAAATGTCTCTTCTACAGTTTTATAACAAGAAGAATATTTTTTTGGAGAAATATCATTTTAGGGGTTGAAACCCCTGATCAAGATCCCTATTAACATTTGAGAGGTGGCATTTTCTTTCTCATTTCCCTTAAGTACCTCCTTAAAAAAAAAATCTTAAATTGCCCTTATTTTGTATTGAGAATAAGGACAATTAGGGTTAATGCAGTAGTTTAACCCCTATCAAGCCCCAACCGAATAAAGAAAATACCCTTAGTTGTTCTTTATTACAAATAAAGAGCACACTTTTCAGTATTACTAATGAGGAATAATTAGGGGTATTTTTGTCATTTGACACCTAATGCCTTATATGCCTTATTCGATTAGGACCTCTTAGGGATCCAATTATTGAAATGGCTCTGGTTGTTCCTCATTTCTAATACAGAACAAGCGCAGTTTAGGATTTTTATTTATTTATTTATTTATTTAGGAGGGACATTAGTGAAATGAAAACAAAAAATAACCTCTGACATGGTGATTTTATTTGAAGTACCGGCATGATGTCCAATGGTACGGTAAGTTGGTTGTATTTGCATGTAGAGCTTGTTGCACATCCCTTCAATTCAAATATGCTTCAATGGAGAAGGCCCGGCAGGGGTCATATCTTGCAGGAGTTGAATTCCTGGGCAGCTGAAAAGCATAAAATTTCGCATAAAAATGAATAAAATAATTGAGAATAAAAGAGCTAATGTTATCCTAGAATAAAGAAAAAAGTTTATATAAGGTTGTAACTTTAAAATGTAGAATTAAAGATCTATCATAAAAAGTTGTTTGGATGTTGGAAAACCCTCTAATTGATTATGACATTGAGATGTATAAATACGAAAAGAAAAAAGAATCGCGTCCGTGAAATAGTGTTATCTTGCAACATGTTATCTGAACTGTCCATTTTCAAAATTTTCATGTGTTTATAGATCTACTTGATTTGAATCGTTTTTAGAGCTTAAAATTTTATAATTAAAGATAAAAATAGACTCTCAAGTCATCCTAAAAAAATTTATATTAAAATTATATTCATGATAAAATTTAGAGGTGCGCTTTAATTGGATTGTTTTAGGTTGCAACCTTATGCAAACCACACCCACTAGAAACCTTTTTGTTGCATTAGCCACAAATAATATGTATACGATTAGATTCATTCTAAATGGACGGATGAGATAATTTCAATTATAGTGTCCCAAGTTAGCTTATACTCTTTATCAGATAGCTGAAAGTGCATACAATATTTGATTTTTGTTTTTATTTTAAAAATATTTTTGACATAGAATTTATGGCATGCTTGCATCTAGTATAATATCTATTATGACATAATATATTATGACATATATTATGTCATAATATATTATATGACATAAATATATTATGACATAATATATTATAATATCTATTATGACATAAATAAGAAAAATATCTATTATAAAAACAAATTACTAAAACCATTGTAACGTTTTTTTGTCATTTTGTTTTATCTAAAATATTTAGTTATAAAAGGGTTAAATATGGGGAGACATTATGATCAAAGCCATCCGAACCATCCATTTAGATCAAATAGTTCTCACGTTGCTTTAAATGTATGTAGGTTAAACTACTTATAAAGGTGTAAAGCTTTCTTCAGTAAAGTTACACTTAAGTGTAGCTATCCGGATAAAAAAGACAAAAGTAAAATTAGAAACATGGGCTCCTCTACAATATTCCATTATGTTGGTAAAGTTAGATGCAATGTTAATAGTAGACAATCTATAAAACTCATTTTGAAAAGATTTTTAAAGAAATGATATGATAAGGTAATATTTCATTTTCTTCGAAAGAGCAAATTTGTGAGTTATTTTTAAACAAGGAAAAAGCTGGTGTAAATTTGTGAGTTATTTTTAAAGAAGGAAAAAGCTGGTGTAGACCCACGAGCCTACATTGCATATAGGCCGATCTGATAGTCGCAACCTTATTTCGTACTTTAATTTTACTTTTAATTTTTTTTGTACAAATCCAAATCACATTAAATTTTAGACATCTATTCTTCTCATCAAGTCTTATCTAATAAACATATTAAAAAAATAATTCTCAAAATATAAATCACTCAAAATACCCTTAAAAAGTTTCAGGGATATTTTGGTCAATATATTTTTTGAAAATTATTTTTTGATATTTTTATTAAATGATCTTATTTTTAAAGAACACACGTTCAAATTTTCAAATGATTTGGATTTATAGAAAAAAAATCATAGTTCAAATACGAAATACAATCGTGATCATTGGATTGACCCATATTCAATCTGCCATTGGGCTTACATGTAGCTGCAGGCTAGTTGGCCAACGCCAGCTTTTTCCTTTAAACAATTACACCATATAAAACCTCTGTAAAGAAAATAATATTTTTTAAAACAAGGAAGTTTATCAAAATACACGAAATGAACCATTTAATATTTTAGCTATATTTTTTATTTATTTTCATAAACACTATCCGAATACACATGTTCGTAAGTTGTAGCAGTTAAAAATAGTGGAAATGTTAAATAGGTGATGACTCGGGTTGATAAATTTATCTTAAAAAGTTGTGTTTCAAACGAAAATTTCACCGTGGCCTAAATTCTTATTCAAGATGATGAGGGTCATAAAGCTTCAAAGATTATATAAGCTTCACCATTTATATATTGTAAAAGAAAAAATCATCTATAGTGGCAACTTTAATTGTAGAGGTAAAATTGCAATGTTCTACACCATCTATTTAGTCGGATGGTATAGATTTGATACGTCTTTCAAGACACAGTTAACAAGTGGCATAACTTTTAAGATATTATCAGATCTACACCGCCCAAATAAAATGAATGGTATAAATTGTTGAAACCTTACATCTATAGATAAGGTTACAAACATACTTATCAAGACTAGACCGGAACATCTACTACGATAGGTCGGACCGTCAAAAGAAAAAGATACCTTGTCTGGTCTGATCTAAAACAAAAACCTAATCTAGTCAAAATCAGTGTTCGAATGCTTTTGACCGATCAGATATCTAGTTTTGACTAGTTTGATCAGTTGAATGTAATTGTTTTTTTAAGATATTCATATTTTAAACTATTATTCTTGCTTTCATTATATCAGTTTTCAAATCTGATCTAACCAATTCAATGGGAGGCCGAACCGATTTCGCTCAGACCAAATCCCTCACCAATTCAGGGACCGATCCGATCCTGATAACGAGGGTTATGCCCTTATATAAACTTTTTCTTAATGAAAACTTACATGTTGAAATGAGAATGTGGATTCCAGGACCTTTGGTTTAAGGCCTTGTTTGTCTGGGTCCTTCGCTTCTAAACATTTTGGGGCATACAAGTTGTAAATGTCGATAACAGCGTAGGCTTGATTGAAGTTGATCACCGCAATATCACATTCAGTGGACTCATTCCTTAAAACTCGTGTCGTAAAATTGAACTCTATGACCTGGGAGTGTAAGTGATGTGATATTATGGCATGGTCCCATCCGGTATCCATCATTCCCTTCACATCACTTTCCGTGTCCAATGCCAATATGCAATAAAGAGAGAATCATGTCCAAAGGAGGTTTGTCAATCCAGAGAACTCATCAGTTACTATGTCCTCCAAACGAGGCCTGTCCATCAAGAGAGAGCGTGTGTGTGTGATAGTGGGAGAGAACTCATATCACTTACGATGAAGAGGATTGTCAATCGAGAGAGAGAGAGGAGAATTCAGATAAGATACTATTATTAGGGGTGGCAATTGACCCAACCACACCCAGGACTTGAGACCCGACGGGTCAAGTCCAGGTTTAAAACCTGGACCTGAACACTATTCAAGTCCAAGGTCTGGGCCTAACTGTACCTGTAAATCATTAAGAGAAAATATTTTCATTTAAACCCTACTCATTTTGATGTATTAAGAACTCGTATTTTTTAGCTATTAAACGACAAAGCTTGAAATCTAATAACGGGAGATTGTGACCTTGTCGCCAATAATATAGGTATGGATCCAATTTTTTGACTTAACGAATCCAGGTTCAAAACTTGGACTTAAATACTATTCGGGTCCGGATCCGGGTCCAGCCGGACTCGACGAGTTATTACCCCCCTAGTTACTATGTCTAAAGGATTGGTATTTAGAGAGAGAGAGAGAGAGAGAGAGAGAGAGAGAAAATCCATATAAGTTGAGATTATTTGACCCCTTTAGTACTTTTAATAATGTTACAAGGAGTTTCAACGCCTGACATGATATCTTTCGAAGAAAATTAGAGTCGTATAGAATGATTAAATCTATCTCAAAGAAAATAAGATCCGCATTTCCCTAACTCATAAACTTTTCATGCAAAAGTTTAACCTTTCATGCAAAAGTTTGGAAAAGTTAGACAGGCCGATCAGCCTGATTTCACATCTAACAGGTAAAAATCGAGTTTCATGTACTATTATATACTTTTTGTCGAATAGAATAAGGTCCTTGTGTCATTAACACTAATACAGGGATATTGAAACCAGTTTATAATAAAGAAAGGTTGATTTAGTCAATCCCTCCTTTACTCCAATTCATAGTGAAGAGCATATTCGTAATTTGAATAGGAGATGAAGCTGATAAAAATTACCATTAAGCCCTTGAGATTTATAATATTCTCTTTCTTGGCCTTTTTATTGTGGTCAATAATGTATTCCGCTAGCTGTGGGATATAGTGTCCTGAAAACATAAAGTCAATTAGCCATGTCATTGATAACTGGCCGTTGATTCTACCAATTTTCATGATATTTCACTGGTATAAGTATGGTATTATGTATGGCATGCATGCAAAGTTATAAAACTTCCAATTAATGATACATATGTCCATGCATGCATGTATGTATCTATTTATTCCATCTATGTTGATCCATACCCGTTACATTGTCTCCCATAGTCTCTAGATCCGACTCCGTGTTGGTATAAGAAAACCCCACGCCATGCCCACAGGAGATTCCAAGAACAACATATTGGCTTCTGCATAAGGAATGTTTGAGAGAGAGACATTTCTCCCAAGGTTAATATTATACAAGAATTAAAATTGAAAAAAAGGAAAAAGTTGATTAACAAGAGAGAGAGAACGTATAGTTAAGTTTTTAATTCCTAGATTAATTAATACAATATTTAAAATTCAAAAACTTATGTCGGACAGAGAGAGAGAGAGAAAGAGAGATTTCAAGGTTAATCAAGTTTTTTATTTCAAGGTTAATTATGCATTAAAGGACAAAGAAAGAGGAGCGAAGGAAGATTACCTTTATTCCAAGAATGGCGATTTAACCTTAGATTTGGGACCTCCTTTTGCACTAGAAAGGGACCTACCTCCTGCAATGCTCCAAACCGTACTGAGCCCTGAAAACAATATTGAATCATGAATGGTGATGATTATGATGATGCCTTCCATGATATAATGACCAATTGACCAGTGTTAAAAAACTAGAGACAGATCGACACTTGCCTGAGTTGGCTTGGGACGATGGTCAGACTCCAGACTCGTTCAGAATCTCTGTGTCCCATAAAAATCACCCGTCGGACTTAAGCTTTGAAGTCACACTCGCCCGAGTCGGCTTGGGACGATGGTCAGACTCCAGACTCGTTCGGAATCTGTGTGTCCTATAAAAATCACCCGTCTGACTTAAGCTTCAAAGTCACACAGGTCATCCTCAAGACCGAGTCCTAGCCCGAGGTTTTAACACTTGATCACGATGATTTTCACGATGGTGATGGCCATGATGATAAGTTTAGAAACCCAATTAATGATAATAATCAATTCCTTAGAAAACTGCAATATAAGAATGTAAATACTTAATGCACTGATAAATCTCATTGCACTAGGTTAAAAACCATTGAAAAAAAAGTAATTTCAAGCAAAAACTACCAATTAATGATAATAATCAATGACTTAGAAAACGGCTCTGAATATAAGAATGTAAATACTTAATGCACTGATAAATCTCATTGCACTAGGTCAAAAACCACTGAAAAGAAAGTAATTTCAAGTAATAACTATTACAATTTTAAATCAATAAAATCAACATAATCGATGAAAAGCAAATATTCTTTTAATTTTAAATCATAGTTTGAAATCTAGTTGACCGATCTAGTAAAATCATTAGACTTAAGGATCATACAATATAGCAGCAGCGGAGGTAGAGGATTTTTATGCTATAAGACCGTTTAGGTATAAGTAGGGTATAAACAGGTCGGGTCCGGGTTGGACCAGGCAAAGTGGGTGGTAGGATCCAAACCTAGCCCGAGGTCCAGTTGGGTTTGGGTCAGAATATGCAAAAATTAAAAATTAAAAATATGAAATATATTTTATATGTTCTAAAATATAGAGAATATACTGGGCCAGGTTGGTCACGTCCTTAACGGACCCGGACACAACCTGTCAGTCATAAAAGTTGGAACTGATCTCAACCCCGAACCTAGACCTGAGTGCGACCCAACCCGCGTGCGAGCCCCAAGTACAAGAAACTCACAATGACCAATGGCTAGATTTATAATTGGGTTGCTAGAATATCAGAACAATTTTTTGTTGGACTTGACCTCATTCAATGGTGCATCCAAGTCACCTGATTTTGCATTTGATGTCGAGTAGTTATTGTGACATTTATTTACCAAAAAATAAAGACTCATAGTGTATATTTTCCATTATTCTTTCCATTATTATTAGAGAAAAGCTCAAAGAGTCAAGAATGTTCACAAGGCATACTTGCGTAGATACTCAACGAGGCCTCATATAACTTAACAATGGTTCAGATTTCCTTTTGTCAAGACAAACGGTCTAGATTTCATCGTATTATAAAATCAGTCTAGATCCAGAGCACAACATCCGCTTCTAATTATTCCAGACTGTCCATCAGTACCAGCTATTGTTTTGAAGTTTATAGAACACAATTACGAAAGATATAATGATCAGAAAATATATATTGTTCAAAGCAACTAGAGAAAAAACAAATCAAAATATTCAAATGAAAGGAATACATATGCAAGTTCCACTAAATTCGAACCATCCAATATCTGGAATCAAATATATCACTCCCAGACTACATTACATCATTATTATTGCCTGTAAAAACCTCTTTAAGAGATCATAAGTTCATAACATTCCATTTATTTACAAAACACCCAATAGCTAATTTCCAAAATAAGGCTTGATTTTGGCGATTAATGGATAATCAATCACATATAATTGCTTATTTTTTGAAAATTTGTTTCAATTATGAATATCTATAGACAAATTAATCAATTAAGAAGTAAATTACCTCCATTAAGCCACATCACTAGGGGCTTATTTTTTGGTCTCTTTTGTGACTCAAAAAACCAGTAAAAGACGGTCTTTCCATGAACTTCGTCGATGTTTACATGTCCTGCATAATGCCGGAAATCAACCTGAGGCTGGCCCGGAAGCTTAATTACACAATCGACCTCGAACTCCTCTTGCTTAGAAGCAAAAATGGAGGGAAAAAAAATCAAAAAAATGCATAGAAAACACATGAAAGAAGCATGAGAAGAGGAGGAAGCCATGGCTACATGAAAGAAGCATGAGAAGAGGAGGAAGCCATGGCTAAGATTTTGGGGTTAAAGAGAAGCTTATATGGCCTTTATATACTTCGTGTGTGCGTTTTAATAATAGTGTTAAAGCTATGTAACGCTTCTAATACTATGAATGGAACAGGGTAATGATGGATTTACCCTTCAGACTTGATACATATTACAGGTATGTCCCTTCTCTAATTTGGAGAACGTCTTTTTTTTCTTAATTGAGCACATGCACTATGCTCTAGTGGAAGCATATACTGTACACATGCGCCTTCAAGTAGAAGACCTATTTGGGAGGATTTTTAACCCTAACTTTTAGGAAACACTTATGGATCACTAGATGATTATTTTCAATAGAAAAAAATTCACTTTTGAGTTCTCTAATACTTAGATCTCACTTCCAAATATTGGATGGTCCCCGTTCAATCTAAAGACATTAAATTTTTCAGGCTCATAGAGTGTGCAATTTGGATATTCTTTTTATTGAAGTCAATATGTGTTGGTGATATTACATCTGCAACTTTGGTGTCCTAAAGATACTTCTAGATTGCGCAAGGGAGTAAATGGAATCTTTTGGCTTTTGAATTTCAAGGTTTTTTGATGTTGGAGAGGAATGTAATGGAGGAAAATACGCCTAGGAGGGCCTTAGGAACCATGTCCCTAGGAGGGCGCCAAGGCAGCCAAAGCAATACCCACACCTAAGCCTAAGTCGCCCGTTGCCTAGGGGTGGAAATTACCCCTGGGAAAGGGGCAATATTGTTTTTTTCCTTCCTAGAAAAGGATTTGAGGGCCACAATACTTGTTCTTGGGGAATTGAGACCAAGGAATTTCAAAAAAATTTACTTTTGAAACTTATTTTTACATGAAAAAGTTTTAGGAAGTTTGATAATCTTCTTGAACCAAATTTTGGCCATGCCGAGTTGATATTTCAATTTAACTGAATACTAATTTATTATAATTGTGAAATCTAATGCAGATATTTAATATTGCTCAACATTTAGTTCCATATATGTGTGGGTCCATACACACATACAAAATATATTTTGTATATACAACCACATATATAATGGATGTGGTTTCTATAAGGCCTAGGTTTGATGAAAGGAAAGTAAAGCCCCACCTCGAAACCTCGCCCGGAAAACACTTTGGGCACGGGAAATCGCTATGATGGCCCTACAATCAATTTGACTACCGATTATAAAATTTGTTACTAAAAAAAAGTACAGATCTTGCATAACTATGAACACTTGAAAATGGACGGTCTAGATAATGTGCTATAATATACATTATCTTTAAGGTATGAAATACTAAATTTTTTTACAACCATAATGGTCCAGGTCGAGATTGTCGATTTGAAAGTATTCTGACGCCAAAAAAAAACTATAATTTTCTTTTGAGTTTTGAGGTCACATGCATACATATATGGGCATCGAGGGCACCTCGAAATCTGAAAAGGTTTGGGTATACACTCAAAATAAATAGATTTAAAGTCATTTTCTAAATTTGGCTCCATGTTGTTATTAAAGTTAGCATTATTGGTATGAATAAGAGGTTTCGAACCATAAGTTAACTGCCCATTCACAAAAAATAATGGAAAACACAGTTTGGAAAGTTCCAAATTGCAATTTTAACAAGGAAAAAGAGAGATTCATTATCAACTCTTAGACCAAACCACATCCCTGGTGGATACTGCTTGGTCCTGTGTCCATTAAACTTAATGTGGATGGCTGCTCCCTCAGAAACCCAGGTCCCAGTCGTTTTGGGGACAGTTTCAGAGACTCCGAAGAAGATATCATCCTTTCTTTCCATGATCAGATCAGTTTCGTTGACTCAGCGAAGGCCAAGTCAATTGCACTCCTCGAAGGTCTAAGGATCTAAAAGAGGTTTAACCCCATTTGGGGAGAACACCTGATCATTGAAGGGGACTCCAAAAATGATATGTCTTGGGCATCCAAAGCTTCACAACATCCATGGAGACTTCACATATTTGTGACCACATCTTCCAGTTTTCCATCCTGCTTCGAGTATCCTTCCAGAGTACCTAGTGTGAAGCCAATTCAATGGCTGATTCATTGGCTATTGAGGGTGCTACCAAGGTGAAGCCACCTTTCTATGGTTTTACTTTGTCGATGTAGAACACCTGATAACTGTGTAAAGCTTATACAATACTTCGATACGTCTAAGTCACCTTTTCAAAAATACATATTTGGGCTTCTCCCAACTACTGATTCTCTTATACAATACTTCGATACCTCTAAGTCACCTTTTCGAAAATACATATTTGGGCTTCTTCCAACTGCGGATCCTCTTCATTGTCATCTTTCCCATGTATGTTCTTACCCAAACTTCAACTGAATCATCTGGATAGACAATTCTTGCAAATCCCTCAAAAATAAGTTTTTGGGTACGTTAGAAAGTGGATAGAACCTTCAACAGTAACTATAAATGATTTATTGACACTAGAAACCCTAATGACTCAGGTGTTTATGCAAAAGGGCAAGACAACCCTCGGCAATGGTTGGATCGCATTGGATGTGTGATAAGAAAGTTTGATATCAAACAAGAGCTCCAGCTACTTATACACCTCCATGACCAATATATTATATCTAGGTAACCTTGAACCATACTGATTAAAATGTATTCAAGGGGAAATCCTAAGGTGGAACATCCAAATTTTGTTGAAGAGGATGCATTTTCATGGAATTAAAAATACAACTACATTATATTCCAGCAAACTGTTCATCCAAATCACTGGCTACTCCAGTCACTGTGTGCAGTTCCTCAGAATAACAATCCTTTCAACAGTGCCAAACTATTTAACGAAAGCAGAAGAACCAAACATGCAATATCAACCGCGGAAGTGAGAGAAGGTTCAAATCGACATCCTAGTTACCGCATTGTGGTTTCCATTCCTACCACTAACACCACCCCACTAATACCTTCGAAAAAGCTAACTCCTAATCTGCTTGAAAAAAACGGGTAGGGGCTAGTCTTCCCCACTGAATTACCCAAAACAAAAATACTCATATCCCACTGTAGTTTCTTGCTTGATGGGAATACTTCAAGGTAAGAGATCTAAAGAGTGAACAATAACAAAATGCAGCTAATGTGGAGGCCATCAAGATCTTCCATGGGTCTTTACATTCCCTAAAGAAGAAAGTTGCAAAATAGTTAGCTCCATACGCCAAGGATGTTCCACTATTTGATATGTTTGGATACACCAAGTGCGTCGAGATTTCTAACTTAGCAAGAACTTTCGGGTGGCATTGGCATGTTACAAGTTTATGGCACTCTATGTTGCAGACAACTTATGGGATTCTAGGTCACCCAACAAGCACAATGGACATGTTAAAACTTTAAGGTACTCTGTATTTCAAACAAACTAAGCTACATCCTCTCCTTATTTCAGTGCCATGAATCAAAGAATTACAAGCATGAAATTATAACCTCCAAAAACAACATTAAATAAGCATATATTTCATGTATACAGCTCTTAAAATATGTTAACTAAGTCACATAATACCACTAACATGATGCACAGCAAAGCTTTAAGACCTGGCGGTCTGGATCAGGGATCGCGAATACGAATTGGATACAGTCGGTGGACGTTCCGGGTCCCTAACATCCCAAATTCCCCCAATTTTATTTTTTATTCTCTTTAAGCCAAATTTCCACCAGTCGGACCAATCTGGATTGGCACCATGAGTAGGCAATCAAAATATTTTCATCTTTCCACTGTGGGAAGGAGAAGGAACGACCAGATAATTTCTATGAAAGATCAAAATGGAACTTCCTTATCTACTGAGGCTGACATCAAAAATCACGTGAATGGCTATTTTGAGGCTTTATTAGCGTAGGAGAGTGATACTGATTTACAATTGGTCGATCAGTTCTTACCACCATCTTCACTCAGTTCTGATCAGAAGACAAATTTGGTGAACATTGTCAATTTGGACAAGATTAAGGCGTCTATTTGGGACATGAACAATGAAAGTGCTCTAGGTCTGGATGGTTTTTTAGTGGAATTCTATATTTTTGCACGGGAGGTTATTAAAAAAGATCTTTTTCTGGTCCTTAAGGATTTCTTCAGTAAAGGTAAGATTCTCAAGCATATTAATTCTACTTTTATATGTTTGATTCCTAAGGTGGATGCACCCAGTGTGATGTAAGACTTTCGACCTATTGGGTTATGTAATGCATTTGTATAAAATTATCGGCAAGATCATTTCTAATCGCTTACGAGTTGTTCTTGATGATATCATAGACCCTAGGAAGGCTGCTTTTTTGAAGGGAAGGCTTATTACAGATAATATTCTTATAGCAAATGAGCTTATGTCACTTTTCCATAGGAATTCAGTTCGGCCTAAAATGTGTTTGCCAATTGACTTAAGCAGTGTCCATGATAGGGTATCCTGGGATTTTATTGTGGGAAGGTTGAATGCATTGGGATTTCCTGATTTATTTGTTTAATAGGTTCATTTATGTATCTCCTCTACTTCATTTTCTATTATGAGAAATGGCTCCCCTAAGGGATATTTTAAAGGAAAGTGGGGGCTGAGGCAAGGGGATCCTCTGTCTCCATATTTATTCTTGTTGGTCATAGATTTCTTTAGTAGAAAACTGGATAATGTGATGATGCAAGGCATGTTACCCAGGGCATTCCCATCAAGATGTGATTATGGGGTCTCACATCTGTTTTATGCAGATGATGTTCTTATTTTTTGTGAGGCATCCATTCATTCTACCACTGCTATGCAAGAACTTATCTTTCAGAAGTCTACTGGTCAAATTCTAAACTCTTCTAACAGTAAGGCTTTCTTCTTTAGTGCACCAAGGAGAGGACTTGGGAGAATCCTGAGGCGTTCGAGGAACTCTGGCCTACCATTATTTCCTGGAAATCTTAGACACAGCTATTGTCATAATCTGGTGGGTAAGGTGTTCAGTAGGATTGGTTCATGGCAATTTTTATGTCTTCCATATGCAGGTCGACTTCAGTTTAAGTCAATACTCAATACCTCAGCGATTTCTGGCTTTTAATGCCTTAGCAATTTCTGGCTTTTATCTTTTATTCTCCCAAAGAAAACATGTAATATGATAAAGAGGCTATAGAGGAACTTCCTATGTTCCATCTTGTCAAATGGAAGACAGTGTGTCTTCCTCAGGCAGAAGGAGGTCTGTGGACTTCAATATTGCAGGAATGATGAAGTTAGCCTGGAGAATCTCGGAAAAACCGTCCTCGCTGTTGGCCCGGTTCTTACAAACATCGCTACTTTAAAAATTCTTCTATATGGGAGGCTAAAGCAAAAAGAGGATGTTCTCATGCTTGGAAGGGGATTATACTTGGCTTAACGCATTTGAAAGACAATGTACAATGGAATATTGGTAATGGTCAGATGGTGGATTTCTGGTTGGATCCATGGCTAACAAGACAGTCATTATCGGATTTGCATGGTACTGCCGTTCAAGAGGAACTGGGAAACTTTGTTGGGCGGAGGGTCGCTGACTTTATTGGTGGTCTACCTCAATCTTTGGATTTTCCTCTCCCCACATCTGACTCTTTGAGAAATATATGGAGGGAGGTTCAGAATTATGCTCTTCCATTACATCCCAAAAAGGATTAACTAGCCTGGATTCACTCTGCTAATGGTTTGTTTTCAATCAAAGGCGCATGGGATTTTATTCGGCATCAACGATCGTCACAACCCATATTCCGTACACTCAGATCTTCTAAATGTCATCCACGGGCGAAATGGTTTTCATGGCTGGCCTTGCATAATCGATTACCTACTTCAATTTTATTGCAGCAGCGAGGCATGCAGTTGGATGCTCTGTGTCCCTTTTGTGGCAACCATTATGATAATATCCATGTGACAACTTCCAACCATATTCATTGTTGGATCAATTAATCAGATAAAATGTGAATGTTAAAAGGCTACATGATGAAAGAAATTGAATACAATTTATTCTAATACCAGAAAGAGTCACATTCAATTTCAGGTATTTCAGGATACATATAGGGCACAAGCCCTGTCGAATCACCTAAATTTATTCATGTAAATTCTACTCTTTCATGCCCTATTTTATTCATAGTATTTTTTCCCAAAGCTCCCTAGTCCTTTTGTTTCAAATTGGAATAGAAACTGTGCTTCTTATATCAACACTTACCAAACTATAACTCAGTAATAATCATATATTTCTCATAAACAACCATTTACATCGAGAGAAAGAGAGAGAGAGAGCGCACTTAATATTATACAAAATGAGATGAGAGGGAAGATCCTACTTTTTCGTTAACAAAACAGAGAGAGAGAGCAATCACTTGTTACTAAAAGCCTCTTCCAGCTTCTCATAATCAACAAGGTAAGCAAACCCATAACCCAAATTCTTGAGAGCGGCTTCATGGAGCTCCTGGTCTGCAGTCGCAGTGGCATCAGTCGAGAAGAAAACCCTAAAACCCCTGACGAAAGCATCCCTCGCAGTGGTCTCACAACAAAGATTAGTCATAACCCCTGTGACAATAACCTCAGTTTTCCCCAAACTCTTCAAGTAATCCTCCATATCAGTGCCATGGAAACCACTGTAAGTGTTCTTTTGGACGATTTTTTCACTGGTTTTCCTTCCAATTTCAGGCAAAAGCTCAGATTCAGGGGTCCCATTGATGATGAGATCATTGTTCCACCATTCACCTAACATGCCAGAGTCTTCTTTTGATGGCTTATGGCCATGGCGAGTGAAAATAACTGGTATTTTCTGGCTTCTACAGAGGTCAATGGTGGCTTTAATGGTGGGAAGGATTGGCGCTGCGATTCCAGAGAAGTAATTTTGCATGTCTATCACTAAGAGTGCGGCTTTTTGGGGGTCTGGGTTTCTCTCTCTAAGACCATATTTCTTGAGAAATTGGGACGCCATGAGCGAAGAAGATGAGAGAGAGAGGATTGAAATGAACGAAGAAATGGCTTCCGAACGCCTTTGGGGCACAGAGAAAACATAAACCGAAAAAGTTAGAGAGAGAGAGAGAGAGAGAAAGAGAGACGAACGGACGAATCGGGATTAACGGAGAGAGAGAGAGCGAGGAATGATAAGAGAGAGAAAGAGAGATGAAAAAGGGGCGATGACAGAGAAGGAAATGAGGACAGTCAAATGTTATGTTCAAATGACGACAAAAAAAAAAGCTCCTTTCTACCTCCTTTTGCAGTGTTCAAAACACGCTTACGATTTGACTCGGGAGACTCGGTGGAAAATTTATGGAGCTTGCTCTTGGCAACGAAGGAAGGATATTGAACGTCCAAGACGTGAAGTTTGAAAATATTGGTGAAAGGGAGATGGAGATGGAGATGGTTTATGTTGGATCATTCTTCCCCAAAGTTGAACTTTGTGCACTACTTGGAGGCCCAAATTTGCACAAAGATAAAAAGTATTTACCAAGGCTTTGTATTGTTAAAAGTGTCTCCCTCATTAATTGGTGTAATAAAGTTATTAGATCGCCTTGGCCACTAAAGTCTTTGTGGGCAGTTATGTATACCTGTCGTGTTCTGGAGGCTTCTTTCCAATAGTTTATATGCCATATCTAATTTTCCCATGTTGGACCTCGCCCTGGTCTAGAGGAAAACTACGTCTGGCCAAGCTTAGGGACCTGTTTGGCCAATGCTCGAGTCAGGCCCAATCGCAGACGTAAACAACGGCACTAGAGACCTTTGTGATGATTTACAAATATATTTGTTAAGCTTCAAAAATAATGTAGATCAAGTTAATATACAAAACCTTAAACTAACAATCAAAATAACTTGCTACAAAATGAACATCTTTACGATCGAAAGTTGTTTTTTTCTTTTCGAAATACATGACTATCATTGTAGAGATGACCAAGTTGCACAAGATGAACCACATTTTTAAAGCTTAAAAAAATGGTATATCCTCAGCCACCCGATTTCAAATGTAACAGTCAATGATGATTTCGACTTTTTTATGTTAAAAAAAAAATGGTTATGACCTTCTAATATCAAAAATAAATAATTTTATTATATACATCTTCGAAATTTAATATATCTTTGGATATTTATGTTTGTCATCGATACAAGTGTTCAGGTGCCAAATACTATGATGCATTTTTTGACAATAATACATGACATTGTCTATAGAGAGATTATCTATCTTTTGTACATGGAGGTCACAATCATTCTCGTCCCTTAAATTTCAAAATAGATGGATGTAAGAGTGTCATTGAATAAATACAAAATTCTATAAAAAATTTCTCTGGGTGCAGTTTGTATAGAGTCGACACCCTAAACAATCAAAATAAATCGCACTTTCAAATGGTGTAAGAAATATAGTTTCAATACATGAAATCTTTATGATAACCTTAAAATATATTTTTATCTTTAATTATAAAATTTAAAGCTTCAAAAATAATGTAGGCTGAGCAAACCTACGAAAATCTTGAAATTTGACCGTTTAAAAAAATGCATTACAAAATACAATATTATCAAAATTTGAAATCTATTTTTTTCTCATGTTCATACAACTTGACTTCGAGATAATCAATTTGAAGATATTTGAACATCAAAACAACTTCTTTCTAATGAAATTTTTGAGGTTCCTTTCCAAAATTTAGTATCTATTTGATTCTCTTAAACAAAAGGGAGTTTTGGTCATTACTGGAAGTTGTAAGGGTAATTTCAGTGTTACAAGACGATAGAATAACTTTTCCTTCCCTCCCGCTCCTATTTATTCTAGAGTGAGAGTAAATCGGCAGGTCCCTGAGAGAGGCTGGTTTTAGAGAGAGATTGGGGTTTTCGACAGAGAGGGAGAGAGTAGGGTTTAGAGAGAGAAAGGAGGAGGATGTCTTATTTGCTGCCTCATCTTCACTCTGGTTGGGCCGTGGACCAGGCCATCCTTGCTGAGGAGGAGCGCCTCGTTGTCATCCGCTTCGGCCATGACTGGGACGAGACTTGCATGCAGGTACCCATCCCTCTCTCTCTCTCAACTTTTGCTCTTATTCTGCCCCATCTCCACATTGTTATTCACACTTATTTACATGGGTGGAATTTTGGCTACTTCTGTGATTTCTTTTCCATCGGTGCATCATTAAATTAGTTTAGGAATTCGACCTTGATTTGTTCTTGGAAGCTGAAATTTGGGTAGACGAGTGAAATTTCTTTAGTTTATGGTGATTGGGGTTAAAATATAGCTAAAATCCGGCCCTGAATTTGGCTGGAGCTGGTTTTTGTTTCCCTTTTCATTAGCAAATTTATAGTTTCAGTAAATTTTTGTTCTGTAATTAGTGAAGAAATTAGAAGGAGATTACGTGTTGTGTTGTGCATGTTTTGTTTACAAAACCTTCTCAGAAAAATCATCCCCTTTCTAATTTGTTGAAGTGGCTGAAATTCCATTCATTCAAGCATATAAGATAGATATTACTCTGAAATTTCACGTGCAAAACCGGAGTGAAGATTGGATATTGTTATGTGATCCGTGATTTGATATTTGTTTTACCTTACTTTTGTGTGTGGGCGATTTTCTTTTCTTTTCTTTTTTGGGAAAGATTCAAATACAATGCTACAGTAATATGCCTAAGTTTCACCTTTCTCCCCCAAAAAAAAACAGAGAACCGAAGTTGCAAAGGCTTTTACCCTCCCCTTAGTCAATATTGGCCATTGGAATGGATACTAGTTTATACAGTGTTTTACTCTTTTTGTCTATTTTACATATTTTGTATTCTTGTGGATCTTGGAGAATTGGGCTTCTACCATTCATCTTTGATTATTGCAAATTCACGCACTTAAGTACAGCACTGCTAATTTGAGGATGAGAATATCAAGGTAAACTATCTTCATTAACTTTAATCAGTTGCATTCTTCGGTATGAAAATGGAAAAGTAGGTTTGAGGGCCCAAAAGAAGCAATAGTTAATATTATGGTCCTGCAATAGAAATATAATCAGGACAATATGCAAACCATGTTTCTTCAACCATCATTGTTCTCTATGTCACTCACCCATCGACGAGAAGTGCCTCACCACCTAGGTTGGCCCTGGCTTGGTCCTTGGCCCTGGATGGAGCCAAGAAGGCCCTGGCCCTATCTGGGCCATATAAAGGTAAATAAAAAATAGGGATGGGTCGGGGAGGCCCTGGCCCTGCCCTCTGGCCACATTCTATGGCTCAGGCCCTAGTTTTTTAGGGCCGGGCCAGGCCTGGCTGTCCAGTCCTATCACTGCCATAACAAGATTGTGAGGCTCACTATCTACTTAGTACGCTTATTCTTTTCATGACAACTTCAGTTTCTCAAACAACTGACGTGGAGAAAGAAAGAAAAAGTGATTAACTTCTTGCTATAAATTTTGGGATTGATGCTTTTGTATATAGAAATTATTTACATCCCATTTTGTGATTTATGCACGAGTTATCAAATTTTTTGTAGAGGATATCGTATCCCATGATTCACATAATATGGTACATTTTGGAGACATTGGATTTTAGGTAGGGAGAGTTTGTGTGGATTTATAACAACAGTGGTTCGGAGAGGTGATTCAGCTCCGGTGGAAGGCTCTAAAGGATAAAAAGAAAGTCGAAAAGGACATGGATGGAAGTAGTGAGAAGAGATGATGATTTATACTCTGACTGAGAGTGTGACCCTTGATAGAGTGGAATGGTGGAATAGGATTTGTATGGCTGACCCAAATTAGTTGGGATAAGGCTCAGATGGTGATGATGAGGTAGGGAGGGCCTATGCTACCTATTAAATTAAAATGTTAGATTTAGATCCTTGAGAAATCATGTTCATGATTCTTTTTTATGTAATTTACCCTCTTTTGAGTAATTATGTACTTAACCCTTTGTATTGTTTTTGTGCTTTGGATGGTTTTTCTAAATATATTTGTGTGCTTGTAATATTGATTAAAGTTTGCTCGATATTTGGATTTCTATAAGTAGAAAGGTGGGGTACTATTCATGGGAATTGGGGGTATAATAAATAAAATAATGACCTTCATTTTGGTTTCAAATGATATTGCCAATTTTAGAATAGTTGCTGTCCTCGAGGGATAGTTTTATATTATGTTTCTTTCGAGTGTTGAACCAAAACACTCACCATCATCAGAGCCTTTTCTTTCAAGTGATAAATCAAAATACTAATTACACTAATCCTCAAGGCTCATTTTGCGTTTTTGTATTATTTGAGCTTGTCCCAAGTCTCTTTTTTTTTTTTACGAGTCTGGTTAATGGGTTTCATAGCTTGGCGAGCACATGTTAGATTGTGGCTTCTCTGTATAGCAGCTGCTATGTTATATACGTGGTGATCATCTTATTTGTTTCTAAAGATGGAGACTCACATAATATATTTCAGTTTAGTGGTTAATTAGAACCAAGAATTCAAAAAGTAAAGAAAAGGAGGATGTATTTCATGGAATATAACATGTTAAGCGTGACTATGAGGGAAGAATGGTTAAGTTGGGTTATATGTTTCATGTGGACTGGTTGCGTTTGAATGTTGATTAATCTAATGGCTTCCATGCCTATAGATATGAAAGAAGAGTTGGGGGCGGGGTGGAATGTTAGGATGCAAGATAGGCAACTGGTCGATCTTATGTTCAAACCGAATAAAGTACTAGCAGTTGGTAACTTTGGGAAGATACTCTGGTCACTATTTTGACAAATGGGCGACCTCTAGAACACTGTAGGGTTGTAGTTATTTTATTCATGGCTTTATATATCATGCATTTATATTTGGTCTCAGGCATGCAAAAGTTTGTTATTTCAAAGAGCAATGAGTTGAATATTAGAATTTGTGTAGGAGTTACATGATTGTATAATAAACGACTTGGGGAGTCCTCTTTTCATGAATTATAACTACATTTCATTCGTTGCAAGTACATCATGTACACTTGCTTTGGATATAATTGTTATCCACTTGTTATAATTGCATGTGATTGTAATGCTTTGTTTCAGAAAATATGAGCATGATTATTGCATAAAATTGTATTTCCTATTTCTTCTTGTGATACAGTTAATATTTCCATTTTCATTCTCTATATATTTTATGGAACTTTATATGTAGAACATTTTATTCATGTACTGAAATACATGAGAAATACTTAAAACATGGCCATCTCTCAGTAAATTGTATACTATTAGTTGAACATACCTCTGGTTTAGTTTCGATTCATAGACCTTTATGTTCTACAAATATTGAGAAGTCTTTGACCAGTCCATGATATAGATATTCCCATATTCTTATAAATAGAAAATGAGAGCACATTGGCTGCATTTATCCCCAAAATTCTGATTCATAACACATGAAAGTTCTGTTCATTGGACTTGATGGCTGTTGGAAATGGATTAGTCTCTCACTCATGAAACATTATTGGTTTTGGCAGATGGATGAGGTGCTCGCCTCAGTGGCCGAAACTATCAAGAACTTTGCAGTCATATACTTGGTGGACATCACAGAGGTACCAGACTTCAACACAATGTATGAGCTCTACGACCCCTCCACTGTTATGTTCTTCTTTCGTAACAAGCACATCATGATCGATCTCGGCACCGGTAATAACAACAAGATCAACTGGGCTCTTAAGGACAAGCAAGAGTTCATTGACATTGTCGAGACTGTCTATAGAGGGGCTCGAAAGGGGCGCGGTTTGGTGATTGCCCCAAAAGACTACTCAACCAAATATCGATACTAGAGTCATCTTTCTCATTGTTATGAAGAGCTGAGACTTCATTTTACGCCTGTAATTTGATGGTGCAACTGCAATTTGTAATTGTTGGGATGTTGGATTCGTTTTTAGAAACTTTCATATTTGGCCTTGACTAAACGAAAAATATCTGGTGAGTTGGTTCTCATGAGTGCCGTGCCCGACTTGGCTTTTGAGGGAACTAGGACTTGAAACACATTTTAAATCACTACGAATCAATTTCCGCAATGGATCCATGATGTGGTGCTCAAAAAAGAATGTGGATTTGATGATCATTGAATAATTGAAATAAATGGTCCCAGAAAAAATAGTACAAAATGGACAACTTTTAAGGCTCACACTAGTGATCGTCAGGTTTGCGCCTCTTCACTTAAAGAGGGGCTGAAGTTTTCGGATTTTAGGCTTAGACCAAAGTGAAGTGGAGCCTGGTGTTATTAGTACGGTCCTGTCATAGCTTTGAGTCAATTAAGCCAAAGTAAAAATAAAACTTTTTTTTTTTATTTCTTATTTTTAAAAATTTTTATTTTTTATTGTTTATATATATATATATATGGAAAAAATCATGTCGGCTTACATGTTGATAGCTATAGTATCAATCAACGGTTCAGATTGAATTTGGATTCAATCCAATGGTTGCGATTTCATTTTGTATTTAAATTTTTATTTTTTGTGTTGGGTGTATTTATCAAAAAAATCATTATTTTTTTATTAAAAAAGTATTTAAATAGGTAATTTTATTATCAAGCAAGAATAAATTTGAAATTTTCATAAAAGTACAATGGCATTTTGAAAATCAGTGTCTTTAAACTTTATTTATAGAGTGTTAAAATTTCAATTTTATTTCAAAAATGATAAAAATACTTTTTGTCTTGCAGTAATATTTACAAAATCATTTTATAAAAATATTTTTTTTAAAAAAATAGACTATATAATTAATAAATCTAACCTTCACATCTGTCCTTATTTTGAACTTTTGTAATTTGAAAGGTTCTTAGAATACCCATATATATATATATAATTTCTTTTAAATTAAAAAAAAAAAGTTCAAAGTCTTTCCTTAAATTGACCGAAGCACTTAATTATTATTATTTTTTTTATCACCAAATAAAAAAGACTCCGAAACTAATCTAATAACATTGGCTCAAACTCGAAACCTTTTTTTCAACGTAATTGTCTCCTCGCTCTCTGTTTTCCTTCTTGATAAGTCTGAAAATGCCAATTATCCACTCTACAGTGGGAGCAACCCCTGCATAAAAATTTGGGTGTCTCACTTCTCTTAATTTATCTCCCTACCGCAACACGCCATAGAATCTTCCCAATCCATTTTTAATAACATTTTATTTTATGTAGAAACGTTTAACCCTACCTGAACCTTTGGGAGCTCACTCGAAAAGGTACGAAGTGATTCGCCCAGGCGACCTTTAGGTCGGATCGATAGGGACGCGGAAGCCACTCGATCAATAGTAGAGGAACTTCAGTCGCTTAAACGAAAGATTCGAATTCCACATTCCCTCACACACAACCTTCGGGAATTAAAGTTCAACTCGATACTTTGAACTCTCGGATCAAAGTTCAACTTGATACTTGGATCTCGGAGATCAAAGTTCAACTTGACACTCTGAACTCAGGGATCAAATATCCAGGGGTGTTCACCATTGGCTATAATACAACTAATCGTGGCCGTCACCCTAATCAGTCTCGAACTCAAAGCTGGTCTATTACACGTTTGTCTCAAGAAGGTGTCGGGACATCTCTCGACCGGGAAGAAGCGGCATGTCACGCTAAGCTATAACTAAGTAAAAAGCTCACTTACCTTACGATCCTCCTACATCTTATAAAGTGACCCCGTAAATTGGAGCCCATAGATTTACAAGAATGATAAAATCCCAAGAACATGAAAACTCTTCGTTAAGGGATTGTATACTATGAGACCGATTATTATTGGCTTAAGGAGTACACTATCATTTTTAACAAATCAAATAAATTGAAATATGTCACAATATTTGAAAATTTTTATTTTGGATTTTATGTCCAACCATTGACACATCTTCAACCATTTAGTTTTATATCTAACGGTTAATAATTGTGACTTCCTTATTCAAATCTTAATCATTGTCGCAAAGTGGTTGGAAAGGGAGATCCCACCTCAGGGGAGCTGATTTTACTAACTCTTCTTGGAATATTGTTTGCACGTACAGGAGGGTCTTAGATTCTTTCTTTCATGAGTTCCAATTGCTTATGAATCTGTTGTATAATGTTTTCTATTTTTGCAATAAAGATGATCAATTGGTGTGGGAACTCATAGCTTCAAGGGATTTTTCAGTTAAGTCTGTCTATCAACTATTGCAGGAAGAGAATCGCAAAGCGATTGATCGTAGTTTAACAAGAATTTAAAATTTGCAGGTGTTGCTGAAGGTTCAGTTCTTTTTTTGGGTAGCTCTTCAAAAAAAGCTATCTACTGTGGATAACCTTCGTAATAAAGGTTTCATAATTGTCAATGGTTGTAGGCTATATTTGAGAAATAATGAAAGTATGAACCATATTCTTTTACATTGTCATTTGACTCTAAGCATGTGAAATTAGTGTAGAATGTTGTTGAATCTAAATTTCCTGATTTCTCTAAGTCTAGAGTCGATCCTCTCTCAATGGATGAACCTTGGTATGTCGAAAGTTGGCACCGTGCTATGGAGAGCTTTATGCGTGAGCACTATTTGGAATATTTAGAAAGAGATAAATAGAAGTACATTTGAAGGGACACAAGTGAGTTTGAAGTTTTGAAATCCAACACACCTTAGCAACAACAGCTAAATGGTTTTCAACAAACAAGGATTGTAAGTTTATCCCAAAATCTTGTAAGTTTATCCCGAAATCACAGATTTTTTAGAACCTATATAAAGTTGCTAAGGTTAATAATGACAGACATACTTGAAATGCTATTTGGATGCCTCGTGAGAATTGCTTAAAACTCTACTTTGATGAAAGCTCGATTGGAAACCCAGACCCAGTAGGTTATGGTCGTACCATTATAGATCATATGGATAATTACAAAGTCACGTACTCGAGACCATATGGACATACAACAATGAATGAAGCTGAGGCAAGAGCCCTTTTAGCGGGTTTAAAGATAATATAGAACCTCAAAGGCCAAAAGATAATTGAAGGTGATTCAAGCAATGTCATTGTTTGAACAAAAGGAGAAATGAAGACACCTTGAAAATTATGCAGCATTTTTTATGAAATCTTTTTCATTTTAAATAATGGTTCTTTGGAGTTATCTCATTGTTTTATGGGTGGTTACATCCTTTTCTTCTTGAACCTCCTTGTAATCGTTCATGGGTAAATGAAATAACTTTTTTTTAAAAGAAAACAACGTTGACATCAAGAGATCAAAAAAAAAAATTTACTTCCCTGTTAAAATCTTTATTTCATGAGGTTTTTATCTTGTAAAACCAATATGTTATAGCTTGATATATGTAGATTTAATATTTTAAAAAACGGACCAGGGGGCCTGATCGATATGGGGTTGGAAAAATAAGGATAGAGAAACTGAATATCTGTGACGTAGTGTGTTTAATAACAGTGTAGATTAGGTAACGATCAATACAAGAGCATAGTGATATAGGGCTTCAATTAATGGGCTTGTAATGATAAAAAACACCATATAATTAGGTTAAAATGTACATTACAAAAATGAAGAAAAACCTGACTTTTTCTACCTTGGTTTCTATTTTCTAAACTAATACAAGCTCTCCTTCCAAGTTCTCCTAATGTATTTCTTTTGTGGGTGAAGCAAGCATGGAGGAAAACAAGTAGAGCACAAGCAAGTGGAGTATAATATACCAGGGAAGAAGCATTCACCAAATGGAACAGTGCCGCATGGTGTCCAAAATACACATTACACCGGAGGTCCATGAAAAATTCTATCAGGAGGTTGAGATGAAGATCTCCATGCCATTAGGCCATGGGGATTGGGGACAATCACAGTCTCACTGATAATCCCCAGAAGACTGAAGAAACAGGCGTGAATCTCTTGCTTCAATTTCCCACTTTATCACCACCACACAGTATCTTCATAAGATTTGGAATCTGTACACTCTCTTGTATTACTCACTTGCACCATTGTCTTAACATCTGTGCTCGTTACCTCGAATGTCACTGGAACTTTTTCATTTTGCTCACACAAGAAGTTCTCTGTCTCCCTTCTATGGCCCCTCTTCCATCTCTCATGCCTTAACCATCAACTCATCCAAGAACTCATATGCATCTTTGGCCATTGGATTAGACAAATCACCAAAGCGAAACTCATGCGCCACTGGCCCCTTTAAACCAACCCAGCTCGAACCTGGCCTTTTCTTGAGCCCTCTACACTTCATCGTCAGCCTTACCTCAGCTGCTTCTTTCCATTTCCCACTCTCGGCGTATATACTCGACAAAAGACTGTAGTTCCCTGTGTTTTTGGGCTCAAGCTCAAATAGAATCTTTGCAACTCTTTCTGCTAACTCTACATTTTTATGCACTTTGCATGCAGCTAATAAGGCACCCCACACAACTGGACCAGGCTCAACAGGGATGCGTTTTATATAATCGAAAGCTTCCTCAAGCCTACCTGCTCGACCCAACAGGTCTACGATGCATGATTGATGCTCTAGGCGAGAGTGGATTCCATAATCATGCTCCATGATCTCAATCAACTTTAGGCCTTGATCAACCAGCCCGGCATGGCTACAAGAGGAGAGGAGACCAACAAAAGTGACATAGTCTGGCCTCACCCCACTCTGATGCATTAGAGAGAAGAGATGTACAGCCTTTTCACCATTGCCATGCATGCCATAACCTGCGATCATGGCCGTCCAAGTGATCACATCACGCTCAGGCATGCGATCAAAGACACGGCGAGCAAGCTCAAGGCTCCCACACTTGCTATACATGTCGATCAAGGCATTGCAAACAATTGTGTCCCAGTGGATATGGTTTTTCACACTAAAGCCATGGATCTCTTTACCATGGAGGAGGGCAGATAGCTTAGCACAAGAAGGAAGGAGGTTTACAAGGGTTACCCAATTGGGTTTCCTGGGGAAAGTTACCACCATCTTCCTAAAAAGATCCAACGCTTTGTTGCTAAAACCATTTTGGTTACAACCTGCAATCATACCATTCCAAGAGACCACACTTTTTTTGGGCATCTTATCAAAAACTTTGGTAGCATAAGTCATGTCATGAGTCTTAGCATACATATCTGAAAGAGCACTGGCAACATAAAGGTCATCATCACATTTGGTTTTGATGGCATGACCATGGATTTCCTTACCAAACCAAATTGCCTCTAAATTGGCACAAGCAGGTAAAGCACAAGCCAGTGTTACTGGCTTAGGGCTCAACCCTGCTTTCCCCATCTCTCTCAACAAGTCCAAAGCCTCCATAGCTCGACCCCCTTGAGCATAACCTGCAATCATAGCTGTCCAGGAGACCACATTTTTCTGAGTCATCTGATTGAACACTCGTTGTGCTTCAATCAAATCCCCGCATTTTGCAAGCATAGCAACAAGGGCATTGCATACATACACATCCCCTTTGTAGTTGCTTCTTTCTATTTGATGATGAATGCTTTTTCCCATTTGGAGGTCCCCCAAATCAGCACATGCTTTTAGAACAAAAGGGAAGGTAAAGTTATCAGGTTCAATGCCAGAGCCCAACATCTGGGAGTGCAAGATCAGGGCCTCTCTGTAAAGGCCATGTTTTATGAAGCCTCTTATCAAAGCATTCCATGAACGTACATTCTTGGATTGCAATCGATCAAAGACCAATTGGGCATCTAAAAGATTGCCACATGTAGCGTACATGTTGATGAGGTTCGTTTGGAGGGGGGTGTTTTGTTGGTGGCCATTGAAGAAGAGGAGAGCATGGAGAACACGGCCAGTGCAAAGTGATTTGGTCTTGGTGCATGCTTGTAATAGAGAGGCATAGGTGGCCGGAGCATGGGTTGGTTTTCCATAGTCTGGGAAAAAGAGGTGGTGCATAGATATGATGGATGGTGATGGTGATGGTGGGTCCACTGGGGTCCTTTGATGATGGAAAAAGCGGAGATAGAACATGAAGCGCATGGTTCCGGGCTGCATCCATTTGCTCTTGCCTTAGAAAAATGGGTTCAAGTTGCGAGAGGATGAATCATTTGAAGGAAAATGGTGGTGGCTTAGAGAATGAATAAGCACACAAACTTCTCCTCAAGGTATGCTAGCAGCAATGACCTCAATGGTTTCACTCTGCTTCAGAATCTTGCCAACTCCTGCAAAAATGGAGAGAGATTTAATGAATTTGCTTGTATTTTCAGAAAAGGAAAAAAAGGGAAAAGGAAAAACCAATTTCTCTCCTGAAAATCTCGTAACACCAAAACTCAAATGCCAAGGGAGGATCTCAAGGCATTTTCCTCTTTGAAGGGAAAGATTCCTATGACTAGTACAGGAGTTTATAGCTTAACCTGGTTTGCAAACCAGATATTTGGGGATCTTCATTCATCCACTGTCTTCTACTCAAAAGGCTAAGTGACTTGCTTTAATGTAGAAGCATTAAAGAGTTAAGGAGTGAAATATGTTATATTGTTCACAAAGTAGTGTCAAATCTCTTCAAGACATGATACTTCAAGCATTAGATCTAGATTTCAGGTCATTAGAATATTTTATGCAATTAGCACGACAATGTGCATTGTGACAGTCACGCAACTTAAATATGCAGATGTGACCCTTCATAAAATGTGACCAACAAGAAAACAATGTTGATGGATTCCAATTCTCCTGCATATGTACCTACAATGTAGAAAATATAACCAAAGGTGAACCAAGCACCATGAGACTCACTTCTGCTGGGCATTTGAAGCATGGAAAGGCCTACAAATTTTATGCTTATAAGGCAGAACCAATAATCAAAAGATGACATTCATACTTTTGCGAGAATTCTATTAACTATGAAGATTTCAAGGAATCAAAACTGGACATGCAGGAAATGTCGCTAAATAAATTTTTTGGCTGGAAATGACCTCATAGATAATGCTTAAAGGGATGATAGAATTAAATGAAAACCCAACTTCTACACTTTTCTTGAAGAGCAGTGAAGTCAAATGTCATAATGGAAGTAACCAAACTCCACACCAAGAATTAGAGATGTTGTTTCTCAAGGATATTTAAAGGGCACACAAAATTGATGTAATATTGACATTTTCAAAAGCTTATAAAAACAATCACTTCGGATGTTCACTACAACCAGGGTACTTACATTAATGGTAACAATACAATGGTTAAATTTTATGCCAAATGGATATCAGAACCACGTTAAAGTGGTGATACCAGAGAAATTTCTTCAAAATAAGAAAATATATACGAAATATTCTACGAATTCCAATATACATATCACAATTTGGGGAATAAAATCATGAAAAATATCAAATATAGCTGCATCCTGCCTCCTTTCTCACCCCTTTATCTCTCATCAACTCCCTCACTCTAACTGCATCCTCCCACAAGCCGGCAGCAGCATATATGTTGGCCAAAACCACATACCCTCCTGAATTTTGTGGTTCAATTTCAAACAAATGCTTTGCAGCAATCTCTCCCATCTCTACATTCCCATGAGTCCTACAAGCCCCAAGTAAAGCCAACCAAAGTGATGGACTGGGCTTCTTAGGCATGTCACAAATAAACCGATATGCTTCATCTAAGAGGCCAGCACGCCCCAGAAGGTCAACAATACATGAATAATGCTCATCCCTCAACTTTATATGACACCCATTGACCATGGCTTTAAACCTAGCCCATCCCCTTTCAACCATTCCACTATGGCTACAAGCTGAGAGCACGGTTAACAGTGTAACATCATTGGGTCCCGGTCCAATGCTCTCCATTTGCTCAAAAAGTTGGATAGCCTCCTCACCAAATCCATGGCAACCATAAGCAGCGATCATTGAACTCCATGAAATAACATTTGTCTCAGGCATCTCATCAAAGGCTCTCCTTGCATCTCTTAGCTCCCCTGATTTTGCATACATGTCAACTAATGCATTTCCTAAGGCCACATCAGGCCTTGGCCTATACTTGACCACATGAGCATGGACCTGTTTGCCCAAGCTCAAAGAGGCCACACTACCACAAATGCTCAAGATGGAAGACAAAATAACATCATCCATCTTCATGTCTTGACCATGGATTTCATGGAACAACTCCATGGCAGAAGCATAGTGAGCTCGTCCATGGTTTTGTGCATACCCGGTCATTAATGCAGTGGTTGTAATTAAGTCTTTCTCCTTATCTGCTATTGAATTATACAAACGCTTTGCACTTTCTAGGCTCTTACATTTTGCATAGGCATGGACTAGTGCCCCACTGATCATTTTATCGGATTCTAAACCTAATTGGATGATCAAACCATGGAGTTGTTGAGCTCCAATAAGGTCCTCGATTATGCCGCAAGAGGCCAAAATGCTTGCTAATGTGAATTGGTCAGGGGTCATGCCTTCATCAAGCATGGATCTAAACAAGCCTAATGCACTCTCAATGAGCCCATGAGCAATGTACCCACCAATTATCGCATTCCACGATACCAAATCTCTTCTCTCCATCCCATCAAACAAGCATCGAGCGTCATCAATGCACCCGCATTTCGCATGCATATCAACTAGAGCACATCGCACAAAGATATCATTGTAAAATCTAGTCTTCATAATGCAAGCTTGGACTTGATAACCATGTTTGATACACGTAAAACAAGTACACGCTCTTACAACACTAGCATATGTGAATTGGTTTGCCTTTACACCCGCTATTCTCATCAAATTGAACAGGTCTAAGGCATCAGAAGAAAACCCGTGTTGGGAATATCCTGATATAAGAGCAGTCCAAGATACCACAGTTCTTTCAGGCATTCCATCAAACACTTGCTTTGCCATTTCAAGGTCCCCAGATTTTGCATAGAAGACAATGAATTTAGTGTTAAGATGGACATTTGATTGGACCCCACTTCTAAGAAGATGATCATGAACTAGTGTGCCCTGTTTCGTAGATTTTAGCTCAATGCAAAGTTGTAGGATCATTGAGTACACATTTGGGTGTAAAATCATCACCTTACTATCCAAAGATCGAAGCATTTGGAGGGCTTCATTTAGTTTACGTTCTGAGCAGAGAGCAATTATCTTTGAGGAAGGATGAGAGCCGTCATGAAGTGAATTCAGATTTTGTGAGTTGGTTTTCTTTATGATTGAAGAAATTGGTAGAGGAGATGTTACATAGGAAGCAACATTTGGGAGGATGACACTAGAGATGGTTATCTGTTGATAGATGTTCTGCCAAAAAAATAAAAAGAAAAATAATGCTGAGCTATAAGATTGAGAAAACAATTGCATGGTATCAAACAATGCATAGATTGCTTTAAAAAAAACAAAAGTTACAGTGCCAAAAATCTACTAAGATAAGAAATTTAATAATACATATATAAGTAGGAAAAAAAGAAGAAGATAGCATTACCATAGCCTGCATCTGGTATCCTCCTTTCCTAAACCACCCATGCCTAATCATAGATTCCTCCTGACATAAAAAAAACAAAAAAAAAAAACAAAATCATTGAAAAACCCAGCTTAAAAATAGGATTAAAAACATCAAAACATAATTTATGAAAAAATACCTATCTTTTTGGTGCTAGAAATTATTGGCTATAGCGCAAGTTACACCGAGCAGTCAATAATGGTTCTCATTTCCCATTTTCCAATAGTTTAAAAATTAAAAGTTATGCTTCCGCAGGAACATATAGTTTCGGCAATGGAGAAAAGAGGACTAACGCATAGGTCTTTATCCGGACAAAGCGCACTAACACCCATCATGGAGGTTAGGGTTTAGCCCATGTATATTTAGTATTACATCAATGGTTTATGCATCTGGTTCATCAATGGTGTATGGTGTTTGGTACACCATGGGTAGTCTCAAGGTTTGGTTAATCTCATCCATCCATTCTGGTGCAGGAATTGACAATGTAGGGGGTGGATCTCAATAGTCTAATGTTTGCTTGGAGTGCGTGTGTGATCGTGCAATTACTTCGAAAGTATGAAGGGATGGTAACGGTTCAGATTGAACCTAGTGCTCTCCAATAGCCCCAAAACAATTTTATTTTTTACATTTTATTTTTATTATTTAAAAGTTTTATTTTTGTAAAATTTAGGGTGCAAATTAATTTTTATAAGGGGAATCAAATAAACTAATAAAAAAAATATTTCCAACATAAAAAATTTACCAAATACATTTAGGGCATTTTGGTTATTTCTATTCAAAATATTCAATTATTGTTTTTATTTAGTTCCTCGTATAAAAATTAACTTACATGCTAAATTTCATATAAAACCCATGTGATAGTGGTTTAGAAGTGCAAGTGCACCTTGACCATCGATAACCTGCGACAATGGTTAGATATGTGGTTCAGAGGGCCCACATTTTAAGCAAGCCCAGTCCACATTTCTTATTTGAACCATCAATGGAGAGACGGACGGCCTAGAAGCACCCAGCCAGATGATCACTACCCATGCCATTGAATCTCCATTCCTTGAGAGAGTAACCAAAACCCAAAGTTATAGCAAACACGGCAATCAAATAAAGAGAGAAATTGCAGGTCCAACTGATCGTTAGGGAGCTTCCAACAATTCTCAGTGCAGTCTTTCGGAACAAAATAAATGGAGCCTGCATATGAATTTGTTTCCCACAGTAGAGAGAGAGAAATTGCATTCTGATTCTCTATAATATGAGAAGTTAGAAAATCATTGCCACATTCACTAAAATACATACCTATTAGGTATTCACAACCATAAATCTTGGTTAGATGCTCTCCCAAAATTGACACATCAACATGAGATGGATGGGCCTGATGAAAAATGGGCATAAAAGAACCCATAAACATTGAAACTAGAACATCAAGAATGTAATGCCCTTGCTTAGAAAACATTAGCTCAAAAAAACCACAAACATCATCATCATTATAAGCAAAAACTGTAGGTTCAAGAATCATAATAAGTTTTGGCAAAGTTTATGTTCGCAACCCAACCTTTTTACCGGAGCATAGGACAGGCTAAGAGAAAGTTTAAAATCCTCACCCTTCTTAAACCAAAACAAATGCCAGAAACATGAAATACTCAAAAACCACGAGAGTGCTCAATAAAACATTTACATAAGAGACCAAAGCCATCATCACCTTGCTTTAAGACAGTGATCACCTTCCCAATCACTTTGAGCCATAACATACATAAAACAGTGATCACCCTAACTTCGTAATGCTGTTTCCTCACTCGCTGAGTGTTTTTTGAAAACCATCCCTTATTTTGGTGAAGACTTTAATTTTGGTTTTTCTTTTGCTATTTTGGCCATATTCTATGGGTATTCTCATTTTAAATGTCCTATATTTTTCTCTATGAGGCGAAATGTTGGGCAGTCAAAAACCAATGTGCTTATGGAATGTGTAGCAGAAATAAGGATGTTAAGATAGATGAGTGGCAAGACAATAAAAGATAGAATTCGGAATAAATAAATTCGAAAAAATTTAGGTGTGGCACCAATAGGCGAAGAGAAGAAAGAGAGTAGACTTAAGTGGGCTAGCCATGTATGGCACAGACTCAGTACAACACATGTTAGGAGGTGCGAGTTAATTCAAGTGGAAGGCTCAAAAAGGGTAAAAGGTAGGCCCAAAAGGATATAGTTGGAAGTAGTGAGAAAAGATATAGGGACTTATGGCCTCACTGAGGGTATGGCCCTTAATAGAGCAAAATGGCGAACCAGAATTCATGTAGCCGATCTCAATTATGGGAAAACGTTTTTTTTATGATGATGATGTGGATTTTTGTCCTGAAGTTTCTTTTTTCTAGTCAAGTTGGTTTCTTTATAAAAGATACGACAAAGCACAGTTGATTGACAAGAAATTCAATTTGTGCAGGTGGACACAGGTTGTTTAGCAATTGCACCAATGTTCATGACTCATCCCAAAAATGCCAGGTCTTATTGAGAATTATATATGAAATTTCTAAGAAAGAAAATTTCTATTAAGAACTTTAATTTATTGATATTTTATTCTGCAGTCGCAACCAATTAGCTGACATTAAGGACAGGGAAATAACAAGAAAATAAGGACAAAATATTGGAACAAACTCTAAAGATATTGAAAGAACATTATCAAAGCTGTCACTAGGAGAATACTTTTATCATTAGGAGTCTTGTGAAAGGACTGAAGATAGAATACAATGTGTTGAAATATCACTCATATGATTGCATGATATCACTTCTAGAGGTTCCAACATCCTTCATATTATTCAAGTTTATTCAGGTGGACATGACATCTTAACTGCAAACTAAGCACACAAAGCCACCAACCACTAGTTGTTATGATTCTGGTTTAGTTTTCAAACACATTATATAACTAGATTGATATTCACTTCCCAATCACTTTAGTTGCTCAAAGGAAATGTAGTGAAATATATGAGCATCCATACGATGAAGTACATACAAACGAGAACTTTTACCGATATACATATACTTAACCTTTGAGTGCTAATTCTTCCACCAAATTTATAATCTCTATATTTCTGGACTAATGAAAACATTGTCTATTTCTATTTTACTCCCGCTGATTGCCAGACTTTGATTAACTTCTAGTTCATTTCAATTTTTAAATGCGGTAAACAACTAAATACTAGGTTTCTTTTCTTTTTCTTAACCAGTATTAGGTCATTTTCATCCATTTTACCTGTGATAATGATAAAATTTACAAAGACAGTTTAAATATTAAATGACAAAGTTAGCCTTACTCATTTGGGCACATGTTCAACACTTGTATAACTAAACATAATTCTAGTATTAGCCCTATAAGAGTTTTCGACACCATTTCCTCGAGTACACTATAAGCCCATCTTTAAATCTTCTCCACTTTACCTTTTCGTTCAAAATTTTGTCATTCTTTTCAATTATCATCCACGCGCATGGTTTGAAACCTGGTGTAACCATATTACTTTCTTTTTAAAAAAAACTCTAAAACATAATGGTCTCCAAAAATAAGCCAAATCGAAAATTTAGGCACGACTAAGAAGCTGTTTTGATTAGATGATCCTTCCTCCCAGAGAGATCTGTTGCTCCAAGAGCCTAGCATCAAAGCTCTATTATAAGTTACTGCATACAGTAAAGCGACAGTCTCTAATGCTCTGATACCTTTTAGCAAGCGCAGCCAGATGCTTACTTTGTCACAGAACAGTTGGGCATTCCCAAACCCTGAATGCCAAACCTGTACACGATATCACCTATATCATTTCTGAGCCTTGCTCATACCGCTGTATGTCTAGAGAATTTTTTAGTTCAAAGGTGTATAAAGCGAAAGAATAAGTACTTCTGAGCGATCAATTTACAGTTTTAAGGCCGATAACATTGAATAGATTCAAGATAAATAGGGTAAGTGAATCATGCTAAATATGAAAGTACAAACATAAGATAAAAACCAAAGAAAAAAATAAAAGTAAGCAATAAGACCTGAAAATACCTGCAAGTCTTTTTTGTTTCTGCTTGAAATTGGAGTCCAATGAAAAAATAGAAGCCACTGGAAGCTATGAAAGAGGCATTTATTAGAGGATATTTACCAGGAAATAACGTAAAACAGATGAACTTTGAGGATGCATAACATGCTAGGGTGTTGGGCCAGAGAAAAAGGAAAACTTACAAAGAGAAAGAGAAAGAGCTCACCTGTTCAGCTAGGGTTTGGCCTCTGGAGAACAATGTGCAGATAGGGAGAGGCTCGGTTTATGAGTGAGAGTGAGAGTGAGAGTGAGAGTGAGATAGAGAGAGAGGGGCTGACAATCAATCGCATACCCGAGCTTTAGAGAGAGAAAGAGCGCGAAAGTTAAAACTGCGCGGTTTGTTTAAGTACCACTCCTTGCAGACAGACCGCACGTGTGAAGGGAAACTCCCCGAAACTTGACACCCTTGTTGTGGTTTTCATTCCCACCCCACCAACGCCGTTAAAAAACTAATTCACATTAAGTTGTAAAGGAAAAGACCCATTTTTTAAAATAAATATGCGGTCTCGAGATATAAAGCAAAAATAGATAATCTATCTAAAAAAACAATTGTACTTAACGGTCTAAATATTTTTTTAATATAATTATTTTTTTATTTTTTTCATACTATGATCTTCATGTTAAATATTATATAATCTCTAAAAATTAGGATCAAATTATATTTAAAATATATATTTATTTGCCAAACCTGCATTTCTACGATATGCGGGCTGGCCGCATAGAAACCATTTCTTTTTTTAAAAGTTACTTTTTAATCTTTATGATAATTTGCTCACCAAGTAAGGTTGTACATGTATTATTACTAAAAAGTAATGCATTTTTTGTGGCATGTATTATAAAAGTAAAGTTGAAATTTTTGACAAAGGTTAGGAGTATTTGTTTATATAAAATTTGAGGACGTTAACTTTCAAAATATCATTTTACTTTGATTATTTAAGGTTGACATCTTATACAAACCACACCCTCAATATTTTATCGCTATCATTTGATTTAATTTTAATAACCTGTTAAAAAACGCCATCTCATCTTGTGTTTGAATGGTTGATTATGGATTAAATGTTAAATAATTAGTAAGTTAGATTTAATTTGATAAGTTTTCCCAATAAAATGCCAAATTTTATTTTTGTTTTAATTATATAATTGAGTTCAAAAAATGGCATATATCAAGCATACTTGTAATTGATTGATTGCTATTATTTTTTTGGGAAAATATCATATTATCCCTTATTTTTAACTTATATATCTCTTCAGACCCAAGAATTAAAAATATTACTTGTAAACAAAAAGACTTCATATTTTCTATCTTCCAACGCCCTAAACCATTTTGACTATGTATTATTGACATCAACAACTTAAGACATGACTGTATATCTCTCTCTCTCTAAACTCCATCTCTCTCTAAACCCAAACTCTATCTCTCTCTAAAACCCAAACTCCATCTCTCTCTCTCACCTCACCGTCTCTCTCTCTCTCTCTCCCTAAAACTCAACATCTATCTCTTTCTC